TCTATGCTCGACAAGGTCCATGCTCGACTTGACTCGTTTGCAGCCCTATTCAGAACAACTGAAATTAAATAATGATAATGCATTTTATTGTCAATGCACCAAAAGTTAATCCCAGTTACAACAACCACCATCATAGAGTTTATCCATTACAAGCAACACGCCGCAAAAAGGGCCCTTAACGGTAAACACAAGACTCGAGTTTAGTAAAGTTGAGAGGCTTCCCCAGATGGTTACCTCTGAAATTAAATTCACATAGCACATGTCGATAAAACTTTGTCTTAACGAGCTTCCCTAGAATGTAAGCTCTCGATCTCATCACGAACGTTAGGTTCAGAGGCACAGACGTGCTTTCGAGATGGTCTTTAGCGCTAACGAACAAAGGCATTCCTCCATACAGTGGCACTTGATGCCCTTGAACCAAAGCTATCACCCTCCGCTGGCTCTTTCTCGATTGATAAAACTTGTTCATCTGCTCCACTTGTCATGTTTATTTGGAAAACGATTAGAATGCACATCGATTAGAGGAAGTAGAAAAAAACGGGTACTTGGGAGATAATAAAATTTACTTGACCGGAAGCGATTTTGAGGCCCAAATAGTGAAGCTCGAGAGGGGTGGAGGTGACGTGGACGCCGAAGAAGGTGGCCGGATTCCGGTAAGAAATTGCCACCGTGGAATTCAAAGTCAACATATCCGTTGGTACACCGGTGGGGTCCATCCCAGCTTGAATTTTGAAAGCCTTAAAAGAAATGCTCTGCACAAGAACACCAGCAGAAAAAGCATAAGGATTTAACTATACACTGACAAAAGGCCATAGCTGTATTATTTATGGCAGAAGGAATCTCATCAACCAACATTACATCATAGGATGCTCTAAAGTTATGGTTGATCTCAGATTATCTCAAGTAATTAGCTCTAACATAATTTTGCGCCTCCCAACACAAGAATCAGAATCTTTTTGGCTGTTTTGAGTAAAAATGGAACAGTTTACTGGAGAATCCTTTGCATTTGCTCGAAGCAAAGGAAAAGTGAATTAAAAAGATTAAATTTTGCAGACATACTTTGATGGGCTAAAGAGATGACCCTTTTCAGATTAAAAGATGAGTCCCGCACAAAGGCACCTCCAAAATCATTTTTTTTTTTTTTTTTTTTACTTCTTATCACAAATTCTACTTGTTTTTCTTCTTCAAACACGAGTAAACGAGTCAACTCAAAACATCTAATCATGACTGTCACTTGTGACCTGCCCACAGTACGACACAATTATGATTTTAGACAATACTAACTGAGTTAACTCAACGAGTTCACACGACAACAGGAATAAAAATTGAATCTTGGACCGACCTTGACGACAATCCTCGGCCTGTAAGCCAAGCTCGCGCCCCACAGAATCAACGAGAAGATCGAAAACAGGACAACAAACGCCAACACAAAACAGACCGCATAGAACCTCACTTGCCCGCCGTCCCTCCCTCCGCCGGCCTCCCCGTCGCCTCCGCCGTCTTCCTCCTCCTCATCGACCTCGCTATACTTCTTCTGCATAAGGCGCCAGCCGCCGGCGGCGTTTTTGGGGTTCTTGAGCGAGACGGAGAATCTGGAGGTGGAGGACTCGCGCGAGTGGTGGATGGGGGAGCAGTGGTAATGGAAGTGGTGGTGGGCCGGCGAGCCAAAGGGGCTCGAGCCGTAGGACATCTTCTCGAGGTCGTTGTGGGAGTGCGAGGGGCTCTGCACGTAGTACAGAGGCCGCCGCGGCGAGCGCGGCGGCGTCGACGCGTCGATGCTGGTGACCTCCGAGTCGGTTTTCACGTGCATTCCGACTCCCATTCCGACTTGTTTAATTTCTAATTTTGCTTTTGCGGGGAAGGAGAAAAAATGGTAAAGTTTTGTATTTACAGTGAATATATTTATGTGCGAGTGTTGGACAGTGCATTGCCTTCTTCTTTCATTGTTTTCGAGGTGAGGAAACAGGAGAAAATGAATTTAATATTTTATAACAAGAGTATCATCATCATCATGGCTTTGACATATACATATTTCTTTCAAAATTAAATTAAAAAATGTCATGCTATAAAATTCAATACATACATTGATACAACAATAAATAAT